TCACTTTAGCGTTTCTCACTTTACGCGGGACCCTCCGGGTTACATTAACCGCGTAAAGTGAGGGTTAACTGTATAATCATTGCAGCTAGTAATGGTGACATACTTAGTGATGTAAAACTTTTCCTGTGTAATAAATTTAAAATGAAAGATTTAGGAAAATTGTCTTGGTTCTTAGGTATGGAGTTCAAATTTGAAGATGACTGTATTAAGATAAATCAAACTAAATATTTAGAGAAAATACTAAATAGATTTAAAATGTCTGACTGCAACCCTAAGTCAATACCATGTGATTTAAGTGGAAGTAAAATCATTAGTAGTGACTCTAAAGGACTGTGTGATACTAGATTGTACAGACAAATTGTCGGCAGTTTGATCTATGTAATGACTGGTACAAGACAAGATCTATCTTATGTTGTTTCAAAATTGTTGCAACATATGGCAAAGCCTACAAAAGCACTTTTTGAGTTAGCTAAACATGTTTTGAAATACATGTATGTTAAAGGTACAATTCATTATAACTTAAAGTTCAGGAATCAAACAGTCCATTAAAATTGATTGGTTACTGTGATTCAGATTGGGGTGCATCGGAAGACAGTTATCAGTTAAATGAAGATGGTCCATTGATTTCTTGGAAATCTAAGAAACAGAATGTTGTAGCATTGTCCTCATGTGAAGCTGAATATATGGCTTCAACAGCAGCTATGCAAGAGGCTAATTTCTTAAGACAGTTGTTAACTGATATGCAAAATTCTAACAGAGAACCTGTAACATTGAATGCTGATAATCAAGGAGCTATTGCATTGGCTAAAAACCACAGTACATCATAAAGGTCGAAACATATCGATATTAAGTACCATTTTATTAGATCAGAAGTAGATGGTATTATTAATCTGCAGTATGTTCCATCAGAAAATAACATTGCTGATATGTTCTAAACCAGTACTGAAACTAAAAGTTTGGTATTATAAGAGTTGTACCCTAGTTTAAGAGGTGTTAGATATAAACTAGGTTACCCCATATTTATGTGAATATGTTCTATTATGTTTTGTGTTAGTTGTGGAATAAAGCGCCACTTTGCTGCGCATGTTATATTTTGTTTTGTTTTTACTGATGGTCCCAAAATATACTGGAAAGAGCAACAACGTGTGTGTCATTGTCTGAGCCTCTCGCATCATATTTCGTTGATATCCACCAAAAATGAACACTGTAACTTCAACAGTAATGGGCTATTTCTGGAACTTTCGAGATCATTTTTCCGTTACCCGGAAAATAACGAGGTTGAGGATTTTCCAGCTTTGAGAGAGTCATCTTGTTACCCGGAAATCTCATTCCCAGAAGTGCTCTGTACCAATTGTTCCGGCTAATGGAGATATCACTGAATATCTACAGTGTGTAACTATCCTCTAATGTTCATATAAGTACAGTAAGTGGTGTGGTGGTGACATGGCATGTGCAGGACTGTCTCTATTATATAAATTAATACCCTGTACTGTACTGTACTTTAGTAATACGAATAATCTACTTCCACTAAATCTGTGAGAGTTCTATATCACACATTACTGTACCATATTCTCAAGGAGCCATTCAAGAAAAATGTGTTTCCACAAAAGAAAGACAATTAAATTCTCTAGCAGTTAGTCATTTTTTCTCACCTTTCCAAATCAAGGTCATTATAGGAGCTCTCAATATTTTCTTTCAGATGTAAGTGTAGCACCCACTTTGGATTTTTTTAATTACTGGTAGTGACATAACTTCTTTTCAAATTATTATTTTTCCATCTGAATTATATTTGTTTAATTATCCCATTCAATGTACCAATGCCAGTATCACAAGATACTCTTACTGTATTACAATAATAATCCAAGAACATCATTTTAATTTCACCCATGATGTTTCATATTGTCTTTATCAGATCCCAATAGTACAGTACAGTATAGGGATGAGGCAGTAAACATTTACACACATTAACCTTCTTTAGAACAAAATGACAAGCTTCAAGAACATTCATACTATGAGTATTCAAATTCCTGTTTCAATCAATTTCTGTACTGTACAATTTCAAACATTTCATAGTCCTGGGTTAACCAGATACAGTACTTCGAAAAATTATCTATAAACATATACTTTTTTCTTTTCTCAAGAAAATCCCAAATCAGGTGGAGAAATAGCTATATTTTTAATATTAGTTTGGCAATTTTTACTGTCCTTGACAATAATGAATGTTGATGCACTCCCTCCCATTGAAGCCATATTGACTGTTTACATGAGCATAAAACATTTCAGGCATGAATACTTCTTTTCCATACACAAAAAGAACTAGGTAATGTTGGTGTGTGTAGCACAGTGTAGGTAATGTTGGTGTGTGTAGCACAGTGTAGGTAATGTTGGTGTGTGTAGCACAGTGTAGGTAATGTTGGTGTGTGTAGCACAGTGTAGGTAATGTTGGTGTGTGTAGCACAGTGTAGGTAATGTTGGTGTGTGTAGCACAGTGTAGGTAATGTTGGTGTGTGTAGCACAGTGTAGGTAATGTTGGTGTGTGTAGCACAGTGTAGGTAATGTTGGTGTGTGTAGCACAGTGTGGGTAAGGGTGGTAATGGCACAGTGTAGGTATGTTGGTGTGTGTAGCACAGTGTGGGTAATGTTGGTGTGTGTAGCACAGTGTAGAGTATGTTGGTGTGTGTAGCACAGTGTAGGTAATGTTGGTGTGTGTAGCACAGTGTAGGTAATGTTGGTGTGTGTAGCACAGTGTAGGTATGTTGGTGTGTGTAGCACAGTGTGAGTGTGTTGGTGGTGTGTGTAGCACAGTGTGAGTAATGTTGGTGTGTGTGTGGCACAGTGTAGGTAATGTTGGTGTGTGTAGCACAGTGTAGGTAATGTTGGGTGTGTGTAGCACAGTGTAGGATGGTGGTGTGTGTAGCACAGTGTAGGTGTGTTGGTGTGTGTAGCACAGTGTGGAGTGTGTTGGTGTGTGTGTGTGTGTGTGTGTGTGTGTGGCACAGTGTGGAGTGTGTTGTGTGTGTGTGTGGCACAGTGTGGGAATGTGTTGGTGTGTGTGTGCTAGTGTGGGTAATGTTGGTGTGTGTGTGTGTGTGTGTGTGGCACAGTGTGGAGTGTGTTGGTGTGTGTGTGTGTGTGTAGCACAGTGTGGAGTGTGTTGGTGTGTGTGTGTGCTGGTGTGGGTGTGGCGTGTGTGTGTGTGTGTAGCACAGTGTGGAATGTTGTGTGTGTGTGTAGCACAGTGTAGGTAATGTTGTGTGTGTGTGTAGCACAGTGAGTGTGTTAGTGTGTGTGTAGCAGTGTGGAGTGTGTTGTGTGTGTGTAGCACAGTGTAGGTGTGTTAGTGTGTGTGTGTGTGTAGCACAGTGTGGTGTGTTGGTGTGTGTGTGTGTGTGTGTAGCACAGTGTGGGGTGTGTTGGTGTGTGTGTGTGTGTGTGTGTGTGTGTAGCACAGTGTGGAGTGTGTTGGTGTGTGTGTGTGTGTGTGTGGCACAGTGTGGGTAATGTTGGTGTGTGTGTGTGTGTGTGTAGCACAGTGTGGGTAATGTTGGTGTGTGTGTGTGTGTGTGTGTGGCACAGTGTGGAGTAATGTTGGTGTGTGTGTGTGTGTGTGTGTAGCACAGTGTAGATGTGTTAGTGTGTGTGTGTGTAGCACAGTGTGGGTGTGTTAGTGTGTGTGTGTGTGGCACAGTGTGGGTGTGTTGGTGTGTGTGTGTGTGTGTGTGTGTGTGTGTGTGTGTGTGTGTGTGTAGCACGGTGTGGGTGTGTTGGTGTGTGTGTGTGTGTGGCACAGTGTGGGTGTGTTAGGTGTGGGTGTGTGGTGTGTGTGTGTGTGTGTGTGTGGCACAGTGTGGTGTGTTGGTGTGTGTGTGTGTGTGTGTGGCTGGTGTGGGTGTGTTGGTGTGTGTGTGTGTGTGTGTGTGTGTGTGGCACAGTGTGGTGTGTTGGTGTGTGTGTGTGTGTGTGTGTGTGCTGGTGTGGAGTGTGTTAGTGTGTGTGTGTGTGTGTGTGTGTGTGTGTGTGTGGCTGGTGTGTGTTGGTGTGTGTGTGTGTGTGTGTGTGTGTTGTGTGTAGCACAGTGTAAGTATTGGTGTGTGTGTGTGTGTGTTAGCACAGTGGTATTATGTTGGTGTGTGTGTGTGTGTGTGTGTGTGTGTGTGTGCTGGTGTGGTGTGTTGGTGTGTGTGTGTGTGTGGTGTGTGGCACAGTGTGTAGTTAGTGTGTGTGTGTGTGGCACAGTGTGGGTGTGTTGGTGTGTGTGTGGCACAGTTAGTGTGTTTGGTGTGTGTGTGTGTGTGTGTGTGTGGCACAGTGTGGGTGTGTTGGTGTGTGTGTAGCACAGTGTGGGTATATTGGGTGTGTGTGGCACAGTGTGGGTGTGTTGTGTGTGTGTGTAGCACAGTGTGGGTGTGTTGGTGTGTGTGTGTGTGTGGTGTGTGTGTGTGTGTGTGTGTGTGTGTAGCACAGTGTGGAGTGTGTTGGTGTGTGTGTGTAGCACAGTGTGGGTATGTTGGTGTGT